GTCCATTTCCATTTTGTGTGATTTTGGTGTCTGAGCAATCATACTAACGTTGTGATCCTATTCTTGAAAGCATAGTAGCATTCAGTGGTCGATCACAAAGGAAACACTCTAGCCTTGTGATTTGGAGCATGCATGGTAGGCCTACAGGTAGGCTATGGTTTCCTTTCTAATCAGATTAAGCATGAATGTATAAATTTATGATGATTAGTGTGAATTAGGGGCGAGTACCTAGTTATTCCTTTTTTTCTTCCTAGAAACCACGTTTAGGATTTATCATTGTTGTTTCAAGGGTACCATGTTAGTTGGAGTTATATGTGTGTTGATGCATGCTATGTGATTTACTTGTGATATTCCTTATTTTCTGAAACATGTTCGGTCTTAGTCTAGGATAGACTAGTGTTGTCTTAAACTCGCGAGCCATGTAGCGTTATTATGCCTCCTACGTCATTTCGATGGACTAGGTCCTTGTAGACTAGAATAGCGGACTTGGGTATAATAGTATGAGCCTTAGTTTAGGCGTCTGCACAGCTTGTTAGAATTTCTGACTTCTCTCCCTATTTATGCGGCTCTGAGGCGTTACCAGAAGTTTTGTGCTATCTTTGGACTGGAGTATTTCAAGCTGGGAGACTTAGTGTGATCTTTTGGGAGTGCACGTCGATCCACAGAGTCTTAGAGCCTATTTGAGATTATCTTTGGAGTCGACACACCCCCATGTCATTGTTGCTAGTTGGGAAGCTTACGCCCCTAGTGGTGGACTGACTTGCTGGGCGGCCTTGATAACTAAGATTCTCTATGGAGTCGACACGCCTCTAGGTCACTCTTGCTAGTTGGGCAACTTACGCCTCTAGGAGTGGACTGGGTGGCCTAGGTTGATTGTCACTCTTGCTAGCTGGGCTAGGAGTTGACTGGTTCTTGTTTACATGGTTACTTGCGTCGGGAGCCTGGCTAATGTTCTTGGATTCAGATCTGGGTCACTGTTCTTTCTTGTAGACTTAGTTATTATGAACATATCAGGTTTATGGGGATCCGTTTGGATTTATTAAGCTTATGCACGAGAGTACCTTTTGGGCTTATGGGGTCCAATTATGTTTAGCTTAGCTTTACTTAGATTTAATTTTGGTATGCTCATGTACTTTCTTTTTATACCCATTTTGATCTTTATTTGTGTCCAAATTCAATATTTTTTTAGTGTCTTTACCTTTCTTTCTCAATCGACCTATGATATCTACTGAGTACCTTTGTTTTGGTACTAAGGCTACACTCTGCACCTTTTCGTGATCCAGGTCCTAGTACCACCTAGGTGATTGTTCATGCTATCTTTTGCAGCTTGTGGATATATCGAACACGAGAGTGAGCACTTGGCATCCTGGATCAGTCTTTCTTCTTTTGTATATATGTTAGCTAGTATTTTTGCCTTTGAGACGGCTTGTTGTGATCCACTCTTGGGACTAGTATTTATTTATATTAGAGAACTCTCTACTCGTGACTTTTAGATTCCGGGAGGGTTTCCATTGTATATAGTTTTTGGTTTGCTTTCATTTCTGTCTTTTCTTATTGTTAGTGTGAGTTTTTTCTATTTAGTTCTACTCTTTTACTCACTACTTATCGTTCTGGGTACGGAGTGACTTACCTACTAGCGGGTTTAGTAAGTGCCATCATGACTCGAGAAACTGGGTCGTGATAGATTTTTTTTTGTATAGAGAAGCGGCTTACAACCACCCTAATTGTAAAAAAAAATGGTAATCATTTATATATTATGGGAATTTTAGAACGTTGTACTGTTCAATTCGTGATGTCGTAAATAATTATATTTTCTAATTGTGTCAATCCTTATTACATCCTAGCAATTGCACCCTCTATATTTAAATTTCTATAATTAGTAATTTTATCACAACATAAAAGATCAAATGGGCAAAATATTCATTGTATTAAACAAAAGTACTCCAAAATTACGTTATTAAAATACTATTTTGAAGTGTAATACAAAAATCCAAAATTACATCATCAAAATACTAAAGTTTTGAAGTATTTTTCAAAACTCCAATAATACATCATAAAAATACCAATTTCAACTGTCGTTCAATAAGAATATCCAAAAAAAAATACTAAAAATGGAGAAGGGTCTAAAATAACTTTCAAGTATAGAAAATGGAACAAATATACCATCCTTCCACCTTTGGGCTCCAAAATACCCTTCCATCCACCTGTATGGACCTATATTACCCTTTCACTTAACAGATTCTTTAAGAGTAATAACTAATTCTTTTATTAGTGACGTGGAAATCCTTAATTGGCTGAAATTTAAATTAAGAAAAAATAATAATTTATCCTAATCAAATTCAAATCCAACTAAATTCTACCCAACCCACTTAAAATTTTACTTATACATATCTTAAATAATAAAACTTCAATCAAAGACTTGATCCAGGTATTTTGAATCTCAGTAAAAAAAAAAAGCTACATTAGACCATAAACAACATGAAACTTCCGAAAATTCCCTTGATAAATTCCAAGAGATAAGAAGTGAAATACAAGAATGTCAAATGAAGTGTCATTTAAATAATCATACACCAAAATACATCATATTTAGGAACACAATTAAGTATGAAAAGTCGAGCAAATCTCCAATCAACAAATTCTCTAGGAAAACATAAATAACTAAATGCAATTTTGTATTTAACCCAGAATTCATATAGATTCACCCTAAAAAGAAACATAAACTCAAAGCGGTAAAAATTTTCAAAACTCAAAACCTTAGAGTTCAACTGAAAAATTATTTCTCTTCTTTCTTTTTTGCGATTCATACAAAACACCCGATAAAAAAGCTAGACCAACATAATTGTATTTCTTAAATAGACATGATATTGAAAAATTCTCAAAGCATAATCATGGAATATCAACAAGTTTTTTTTATTAGCCATTACAAGAGATTATAAACCTGATGAACAACAAAGATTGATATCGCATTTCGTTAGCTGCAAAATAAAGAATGGAATTTTACAAGAAAATTCTATGAAGAGAAATACAGTGTTTAGAGAAAAAAAGGGAATTCACTGCTACACACTCGGTTCTCCTTAATTTTTTAAGATATGGGTTAGTAGAATTTAGCTGAATTAGAATTTGATTAGGAGAAATTGTTATTTTTGCTTAATTTAAATTTCACCTAATTAAGGACTGTCACTTCATTAATGAAAGGATTAATTATTACTCTTAAATAATTTGTTAAGTGAAAGGGTAATATAACTCCATATAGATGGATGAAAGGCTATTTTGGAGCCCAAAGATGGAAGGAGGGTATTTTTGTTTCATTTCCTATACTTGAAGGGTATTTTAGACCCTTCTCCGTACTAAAAATGATTTCTTATAGTATGTTTAGTCCGTCATCATTATTACTTTCATCTAAAGATTTCTAATCAATGATTGGTCCGATTGGTGACTGATGAGAACCACTTTCTATTTCTGATGCTTGAAAAAAAAATAGTAATTGTCAGACAAACTGATGATCATACTCCAAGAATAAATATATTCGCACGAAATTATGAAAGAATGACTTTAAATGTTAATGCATAGAGAATTTTAGACTTATTTGTTCATACAACCCACTAATTATTTTTTAAGTGGGAAAACCTAATGTAAAGGTAGTTACAACAATATGATTTTTTTTAAGGTCAAAATTTCACAATAAGTTAAATAAGTTTAGCGGTGACCGATGAAAGTTCATAAAATGCATAAAGAAACAACCACCTAAGAGCTATTGTCGTTGCCCATCAAAAGAGGCTAGAGAACCATGACAGTAGCTTTATTTGTAGCTATACCAAAACTGGTAAAATGTTGTCCAAAACAAAATTGACAAAAAAAAAAACAAAACTACTTCATCCATGCTCATCAAATGCACAACCTTACTATGGTGTTCAAATGAGACAAAACATGAGTCTTGGCACTGATTTACTGGGAAAATCATTCATATGTCAAGATAGATGTACTATGTTACTGTTAGTTTGCATTTGATCACTTCTCCAACTTCACAATTAACCCTAAAACATTTTAACCTCTTCTAATTAGCAAACCATTTTACCTAGATTCTAATCTCACATTATAGTATCGAAACCATTTTTTATCAATGTGATGAAACGAATAACCTATATTAAAGTCCGCTGCCTTGTTATGTAAGAACACGATGCTTAGGTATAGAAATAACATTTATGAGGGCCCGATTATTTGATAAAACAATCGTATATATATGAGGGCAATGATTTATTTAATTGTTTCATATGGATTATTTTAGCTTCTATGTTATACACTGTTATTGCTTAAGATGTATGACCAGGATTGATTAGAAATCTTACTGAGTTTTTACGACTCACTATTAATGTGTAACGGCCTAACTCTCTAGTGATATTGTCCGTTCTAAGCCTAGACCTGCACGACTTTAAAACACATCTCTAGTTAGTAAGGTTTTCTTACTTAAATACTCAATATCTCACTATTAATGTGTAACGGCATGCTTGATGACGTGAGACTTATAATTGGCAAAACACATGAGAAATGTATTGGAACCAGTATTGACAATGGTGATTATTATGAAAATTACCCGGACCTAACAGTGAAGACAATACAAGGCGGCTAAATAATTTTGAACTTCGGGCTTCATAAACTTGGGCCTCCTTCAGATAATTGGTCAAGTTGTATTTCAGCCCACCTCATATTCTCTCTTTTATTTTGTACATATTTTCTTTTCTTTTATTCTTGTAAATATCCTTTAGTTTGTTAGCCATAAACAAATAGAAAGAGGATAGTTGTAGGAATTAGTTATAGCTAGATTCCTTTTTAGCTTATATAAATATGTATAATGTACATAAGGTCATTCATTTCAAGTTTTATACAGAGAAAAGGAAAATTCCCAAAATTGTTCTTTCATTTTGTCATGGTATCAAAGTAGGTTTTATCTGCTGGAACAATTTCTTTTACTTACATTTTTTTTGTCTTCTTTTTCTCTAACGATGAGCACTAGTGTTTCTTCTGATTCAACAATTGGGGCAGTGTCAAGCACTCAAAATAATGGTGCCCTTGATGCTGCGCATCCCTACTACATTCACCCTTTGGATTATCTAGGTATAAACCTGGTTTCAACTGTCTCTGATGAAAAGGGTTATGGTAGGTGGAGAAGAGCTGCTATCATAGCTCTATTTGCTAAAAACAAGTTGGGATTTACTGATGGATCCTTGCTTGTTCCCACTGCTCCCATACTTCAGAAATCTTGGGCACGATGTAATGAAATGGTGCTCTCATCGTTGCTCAACTCTTTATCAAAAGAAGTTGCTGAGAGTGTGCTTTATTCTCATAGTGCTAAAGACCTCTGGAAAGATCTGGAGGAAAGGTTTGGCCAAGCTAATGGGGCTAAGCTCTTTCAATTGCAAAAAGAACTTGGTGCTTTGGTTCAAGGAAATTCTAGTGAGTCTGGGTATTTTACTAAAATGAAAAGTCTGTGGGATGAGCTTCATGCTCTCAACACATTTTCTGCTTGTATTTGCAATTGTGAATGTGGGGCCAAGACCAAGAATCTCAGAGCACATCAAGATGAGAGACTTCTTCAATTTTTGATGGGCTTGAATGAAATCTTCATCGGTGTAAGGATCAATATTCTCATAGCCTCTCCCTTACCATATATTGGACAAGCCTATTCTCTAGTGATGCAGGATGAGAAGCAAAGAGAGATCAACTCATCCCCTGTTTATCCAACAGACTCGAATTTCTTCATTGCAACTAATCAACCACCTGGTAACAGAGAATTTGGTGAGTATAAGGGACAAAAGGGAATTTATAGCCCAAAGAAGAACACGAACATCTGTAACTACTGTAAAAAGATTGGGCATAACATAAACTAGTGCTACAAAATCCATGGATTTCCTCCTGATTTCAAGTTCACCAAAGGAAAAAGGATTCAAATTGCAGCTCTTGCAAGCAACAGAGTTGACCCTGAGCATGCAGGGATTAATGCAGCTAAACCATTGAACCTCACATAGGAGAACATATGACAGCTATTGTCTTTACTTCATCTGTTTAAGCAAGGGGGAAGTACTTCTGAGGATATGGCGTCGGTGTGCTGGTATAGCTAACTTTTTTTTAACTCTTATGCATGTTTTGTTCATACAGATGATGAATCTTGGATTATAGACAGTGGTTCTTCAGAACATATGTCTTTTAATAAATCCTTTCTTTCTAATTTGAAACCTCTACCCAGATCTATTATGATTAATCTTCCTAATTCTCAAAAAGTTTGGGTCACTCACTACGGATCAGTTTATCTTTTTCCTAATTTTGTTCTTGACCATGCTCTTTATATACCAGATTCAATCTTCTATCTGTGAATAAACTATGTCAACAATTATCTCACTCTATTCTATTCACTTCTACATCTTATTTTTTGCCCCTCTGGAGATTGGTAAAGTAGCAGGAGGTCTTTACATTGCCAAGCCAAGTGTTGCTGGTTTTCTTTCCAAATCTAGTACTAAGTTAGAAAAAAATCTGGTGACAGGAAAGAAGAGTTATGATGTAAACTCTATTCCTGCTTTAGTTTCTAATTTCAGTCTTTTTAATTCCAATGTAAAAGGAAATTTGTGGCACTATAGATTACCACATGCCTTTGAGCAATATGAAAAGAATTTCATCTATTCCTATGACTTCTCAATCCGATTTTATTGTTTCTTGAGAGATATGTTCCATGGCTAGGAAAAATAAGCTTTCTTTTCCTTCTAGCTATATTTCCACCAAATCTGTTTTTGAATTAATCCATGTGGATACTTGGGGTCCTTATAAGCATCCCACGTATGATGGTTTCAAATACTTCCTCACAATAGTTGACGATTTCAGTCGAGGTACTTGGACACATTTATTGACCAACAAATAAAATGATTTCACTGTTCTCAAATCTTTCCTAAATATGGTTGAAAGACAATTTCAAGTATAAGTAAAAACCATTAGGACAGACAGTGCCTTTGAATTAGGATCTAGAAAGGTGCATTCTGAATATTTCTCTGCCCAGGGAATCATCCACCAAACCACTTGCGTTTCTTTCCCACAACAAAATGGCATCGTCAAAAGCAAACACAAACACTTATTGGAAACCTCCAGAGCCCTTCTCTTCCAATCTAACTTGCCAATAAAATTTTGGGGTGATTGTCTCTTAACGGCAACTTACTTGATCAGTCAATTTCCTTCTAAGGTTTTTTCCTACAAAAACCCCTATGAGTTACAGTTCTATACCGCGCCTAGTTACACCAATTTGAAAAGCTTTGGGTGTCTTTGTTTTGCATCTACTTTGTCAACCCATAGGACAAAATTTGATCCAAGAAGTATCTCTTGTGTTTTCCTAGGGTACCCACATGGCAAAAAGGGGTATAAATTACTTAATCTCAAAACTATGAGAACTTTCGTTTCAAGGGATGTCGTCTTTCATGAAACTATTTTCTTTTTTTCCTCTATCAAGCCTACTGTTTCAGATTCCTTTTTGCCTCAACATTCTCTTCCACATCACATAGATCAGTCCTCTATTGTCCCTTCTCCTATTACTCCTACTATGCCTTTATCTGATCCTCTGCTTCCTTCCCCTAATGTCCTTAGACACTCCCTCTTCTCCTATTTTAGCTCCTCAAAGCCCCCTCACATATTTCTCCTACTACTCTTTCTAATTCTATGCTTGATACACTCATTCAAAAATCTTCCAGACCTCACATTGCTCCTTCTTACTAAAGGACTACATTTGTAATGCCCTCTAACTCACCGATCTCACTGCATCTTGCTTTCTTTCTCCTGTCACTCCTTCCTTCTTTTCTTTCATTGCTCTATCATCTTCCAACCAAAATTTGTTAAACACTCTTTCTCATCTGCACAAACCTGTTAGCTATACTCAGGCAGTTTTACACCCAGGTTGGCAAGATATAATGGCCAAGGAAATAGCATCCCTTGAATTGAATAGAACGTGCAAAGTAGTTGAACTTCCTCCCGGAAAGAAAGCTCTACCTAATAAGTGGGTTTACAAGGTCAAATACCATTCTAATGGCAGTGTGGAGAGATTGAAGGCACGATTGGTGATTCGAGGAGATATTCAACGAGAAGGGATCGACTTTACTGAAACATTCTCACCAGTTGTCAAGATGACCACAGTGAGGTGCATTTAGTCCATTGCAGTTAAGAAAGTATGGGGTCTATTTCAATTGGACGTAAACAATGTTTTTTTACATGGTGATTTAGAGGAGGAAGTTTACATGAAGTTTCCAGCAGGTGTCACTCCCCGCCTCCTCAAATCATGTTTGTCTCTTAAAGAAATATCTTTATGGTCTTCGGCAAGCATCTCGACAATGGTATGCTAAGCTGGCAACTGCTCTCTCTTTCAAAGGCTATACACTCTCTCTCAACGACTACTCCTTGTTTTACAAAAATACAGACTCCGCCGTTTCTATTGTCGCCATCTATGTCGATGACATTTTAATGACGGGGAATGACATGAATGAACTCAACAATCTTAAGGCTTTCTTGCACAATGAATTTAGGATTAAGGATCTAGGCAGCTTGCATTATTTCCTTGGTATGGAGGTCCTGCGCGAATCTCATGGTCTCATTCTTAGCCAACGAAAATTCACCATTGATTTACTGGAGGAGTTTCATTCCTCACATCTTACCCTTGTTTCATCCCCTCTTGATCCCTCCACCAAACTTCTTGCAAAAACAGGGTATCCTATTCCAGATCCTATGTTTTTTCGACATTTATTGGGTAAGCTAAATTATCTCACCCACACCAGACCAAACTTGGCTTTCACTGTCCAACATTTAAGCCAATTTATGCAAGATCCTCATCTTCCCCACATGCAAACTGGTCTTCGAGTTCTTCGATATCTCCTTCGCGACCCTGGTCTAGGTCTATTCATGTCTTCTACTCTTGACTTCAAATTATTGGCCTTTTGCGACTCCGACTACATCTTGTCCCAATTCACGCAAATTAGTGAGTGGTTTCTACATTTCCCTGGGATTTTTTCCAATTTCTTGGAAATCGAAGAAACATACCTCCATTTCCCTCAGTTCTGCTGAGGCTGAATATCGTTCCATGAGACCAATTGTGGGTGAATTAACTTGGTTGGTTTGTTTGTTCTCTGATCTAACCATTCCTACCGAGCTTCTTGTTCCTCTTCTTTCAGATAGCCAAGCTGCTATTCATATAGCAAAAATCTCGTCTTTCATAAACGCACCAAACACATTGAACTCGACTATCATTTTGTGCATCAACAATTTCAAGTTGGTCTGATTTCTCTCTCTTTTGTTCGTTCCTCTTCTCAATTAGCTGATCTTTTCACCGAACCTTTGACTGGCCCTTTTCATCACACTCTATTGGGTAAGTCTGGTGTTTTTTCATCCCCCTCCAACTTGAGGAGGGGTATTGGAACCAGTATTGACAATGGTAACTATTATGAAAATCACCTGGACCGAACAGTGAAGACAATACAAGGCGGTTAAATAATTTTGAACTTTGAACTTCATAAACTTGGGCCTCCTTCAGATAATTGGTCAAGTTGTATTTCAGCCCACCTCATATTCTCTCTTTTATTTTGTACAAAAAAATTTTTCTTTTATTCTTGTAATTATCCATTAGTTTGTTAGCCATAAACAAATAGAAAGAGGGCAGCAGTAGGAGTTAGTTATAGCTAGATTCTTTTTTTGCTTATATAAATATGTATACTGTACAGAAGGTCATTCATTTCAAGTTTTATACAGAGAAAAGGAAAATTCTCAAAATTGTTCTTTCGTTTTGTCAAGATGTTGGATAATTAAGTAAGCATGTTTTACCAATTAGTGACGCACCTAGGTCCAGAGTGGACAATATCACTAGCGAGCAGTTTGGCCGTTACAAGCATTATGCATATCCATTTACTAGTGATGTTGAGTTTCGATCTCTTTTGAGGCATCGATTTATTTTGTAAAGGTAAGTTATTCGTTGTTGGTGTGTGATCTGCTTTTATTTTATCCTTTATATTTCATTTATGGTTGCATTACTAGCTTCTTTTAGTAAAGAGGAATCTCATTTGTATTAGTTATTAACTTTCACTTTGTATTAGATTTTAGTTTTATAGACACAGTAATGAGATTCTACCTTGATTTGAACTAACTTAGTTTTTCTATTTGGGCATGTTTGCTACGGATTTGTGTTCTTCAAACTTTAGGTTTCATTAGGGTCCTCAAGTTGGGTCATGATATATATATCCATTCCTTCTTTTGACGTTACTAAATACTTTTGTAATTGCCCTCAGTTTCAATATGGATGGACTCATCATATTCAAATTCTTTGAGAAAAATATTCAGATATACCCTTCAAATTTTGAGCCTAATTCAAAATTACTCTACGAGTGCCATTCACGACAGTCTAGATTGTGACATGATTATTTCTCAAATACTACTTACACTTACCAAATAAGAGGAATATGATCACCTTTATTTTATAAGAAAATAACAAACTCATTTAAAAATTGTAATTTGAGGTCAATCTGCAGCAAAGCAACCAACCAACCTTTCCTCCCATTTCTGACTGATCAATCATCTTTGAAAACTAACGTCGAAAAAGTTAATTATTGCCTACATCATCCTTCAATTCATATATACATTCCAACAAAAATGATTTTTAGCAGTAATTAATTAACGGCAATAACTTAATTGCCGCTAAATATTATTTTTAACGACAATTATCACTCTTTATAAATGTCCCTAAAGCCTATAGTGACATTTAATTCAATGACAATTAAATAATACCGATAAATATATTAACTCTCTTTGTTAATATGTATATTTATTACCGCTAAATATTATTTTTGCTATAGCGATAGTATTATGCATTTAATGAAAAACAGAAAAATACAACATAAATTAATAGAAGAATTCGTCTATTTATGTAAAAAGACAAAAATACAGGAATTAAAAGATAAAGAATATTGAAGTTAAGTGTATCAAAAGAAAAGGAACTTCACTTCTAGTTTAGTTCTAGTCCACAATATATATAGCACACCAATACTAATAACTTTCAAAGCAAACATAAAAATCATATTTGTATGTTATAGCTATAGTTTGTATAATTGCGCTTCATAACAAATTTTATGTTTGCTATGGAGCTTTTGATTTGTATAATTCGCTACAAACATCAAATTTTATACAATTATTCAGTTTTGTATAAATTCATTTATATATTATAATTTGTATAATAAGATCTGTATTTGTATAATTATAAGTGTATAGGACGAAACTATATGTATTTGTATTTATATATACACTTTTCTCTCGCTTTATACAAACACAAACGCATTTTATACCGAAATGTATAAAACAGCTAATTGTATACCGAACCAAATGACAAAAAAAAGGGATGTTTGCTGCGAATTACAATTAAAATAAACTATGGCTATAACATTTAATTTGAATTAATAGTTTGTTATTTCATACAATTTTCCCTACTTATAATGAATGCATAAATCAAAGTTTTTTTATTAAATAAAAAAGAAACGTTTTGTTTAATTGTCATCTTCAGGTTTGATTAGGAGAGGGTTAAAGATAATATGAAAAGAATAAAAAAGAAGTAAAGTATTTGTGAATAATCCACAAATGCATGTGACAATTGCTCCTAATGCTTTTGCACAGAAAATTGGAACAAAACGGCAAATGGGTTGCCAACTTGCTTGAATATTTCCATTCTTGAGTAGAGAGTACGTCTCTAGTGCTGCAGCACAACTTGCAACAAGTACCATTGTAATAACCTACACATTTTTTTAAAATAAAAAAAAGGAAATAATATAAGCTTTAATTATGGAAAAATAAATATATATAAAGGGATTGAATGCATGGTGATATTTTAAATATAATTATGGATTTATCTATTTATTTAATAAGAAATCTTGAATCTTAATTAGGAGAGACGTATCAAGTTTCAAGTTCAATTTCAATAGAGATAAAAATACTAGGTGATTTTTCTATTTGTTTTATGATGACTTGTATTCTATGAAATTAGTCGAGGTGTACAAAAGTTGACCCGAACAGTTAAAAAACAACTTTAATTATTAAATAAGAGAAACAAGTAGAATACCATATCCAAAACAACGACCAACTTCCATAGACGACTCCCATCAGGAAGGATTATAACTAGAAGGTTGTAAGCAGCTCCAAGAAAGTTCACGGCTATAAAGAACCTGATAATCAAAATTTATTATAAACTTTGTTAATTATAATTATGTAATCACACATTTTGTCATCAACTAAATATCTTTTAAAATAATATATTTACTAGGATTATACATATATATATATAAAAAAAAAAATTTAAAAATTGTGCATGGTAATTGTACTTGCTAGCTCTACAATATTTCCTCAAAAGTCGCATAACCTAAATAAGGAAAGTAATAATTTCTTACCTTCTCTTGATCGTTGATGGTGTCTTTGACATTCAAAGTTGTATTAAATGTAACGAAAGAAATTATTTTTACTTGAATATATATACCATAAAAAGAAATAAATTAAGATCTTTTGGCTAGTTACATAATTATTATGTTAAAAAAAAAAAAAAAGGTTTTTCTTAGGTATCTTGTATTTTAAAATTGAAGATCTCTCTTATGTGTATAAACAACAGAAAATCCAAAAAAAAAAAAAAATTATCAGTGACCTACAAAACAATGATCAACATTAATTGGTATATAACATAAGAAGTTTAACTGACAATATAGTTTTTTTTTTCTTTTTACTGGCAATATAGTTTAACTTGCGATATATAGTAGTCAATTACCATTTTTACTTCCGTTTATCACAAAGATTTACTTGTAATTACCTTATATAAAGATGATGCACGTATGAAACTCAAATATCAAATTAAACAGAGACGAATCTAAAATTTAAAAAGAAATATAAGTAATAATTATAAACATAAATAATTTTTTGATAGATGAAAAATTCTTACTGAAAGCTATTCCAATTCTTGTATGTTGCTTTGAAAGAGTATCCATTGTTGGAATTCTTATAAGATGGTAAAAAAGTGTATCCATCTTTCATGTGAACCATTTGTGTGGTAGACAACATGGTAAGTGCAGCTGCTAACGTTGTAGCAAAGATTATGAATCTTACTCCAATCGAAATTTTTGTCTTCGCCATTCTTCAATACTTGTATCTACACAAAACAAAACAAAAAGACAAGCAAATCAGGTTCATTTCTGGGGGTGACGCTTGCTACATAATATTTTTTTTATTATAATCAGAGTTTTTGAATCTGAGATCACTAATTAATGGTGGAGGAATTCCAACTATCCCACCACGATCCATGTTGGTAAGCAAAATAACATGGATTCGATATTTAGTCAGAGTTTTGATCAAACAAAGCAATATAATGGAGTGAGAAACAACACTAAAAAAAAAGGGACATAGAGAGAGAGAGAGAGAGACGTACAATTTGATCGAGAAAAGCCAATTTAGTGATTGAGTGAGGAGGGGCTTTAGCAAGAATTTAAGGGAGAAGGAATTTCTAATTTGGGCTTGTTTTGTTATTCAGCCCGCTAAAATTAATTTGGGCTTTGCCCAAAGCATTTACATCATGTGTTAAAAGCAGCCTAAGAATTCTAGCATACTTCGTGAATATTTAGAGTCAAATCTCGCTCGTCACTCTCATATCTCGCATATGTATCTGGTATCCTAGATACATGAGAATCACACCAGATACATATATATATAGTGTGTATCTATTATAATTCGCATGTATCTGGGGTACATAGACAAATCTTTCACGTCTCCCTCCCATCTCACTCGTCATACTCATATCTCACTCGTGTATATGGTGTTTCATATATATGTGAATAACACCATATACATGCATATAGTGTGTATTTAGTATGATTCACATGTATGTGGAATACATAGACAAATCTTTCACGCCTCCTAGCTCCCATCTCACTCGCCATTTTCATAACTTTCTCGTGTATATGTTGTTCAATATACATGTGAATAACACTATACACATGTATATAGTGTATATCTAGTGTGGTTCGCATTTAAATGACTTGAAATCGATATGAAATTATTAAATAGTGAGATTAAATATAATTGTTTCAAACTATAAGGAAAATTAGTAAATATGATAGAAATGTGTGTGTAACTAGAGAGTTTCTTCTATTTTAATAAGAGAATATTACCCGATATGTATGTTGTAGACATTCCGGATATAAATATAATAATTGACATGTTGAACTATACTATTGTATAGCCCAAATTAAAGATTTGCAGTGTTCATAATTGTTGTAGTATATTTTTTTAAGGTGGTGAATATTTAAATAATTAAAAGCATATAAATATTTATTTTGACCTGATGATCATGCAAAAAAAAGAGCCTCTTTTTCTATTTGTAATAGTTTATGTCATAATTCATAAATGTTTTTAAAAAACACATTTTGACTGGTCTGAAGCAATTTTATAAATCAGATTCAATATTGGTTAGGCTGCTTCAAGAATCACAGGATGATTAACTACTAATAAAATAATTCGGGGTACATAATTTGTCTCATGTATATTATAATTATAGATTTAAGAGCTATTTATCGGTTGTGATCATGTAAAGATCTTTACTGATATTATTATTAGAATTTAATTAACATGTGAGAATATGTTGGTTATCATATTTATCAAATTATCAATTAATGATCATCTTTAATGAATGACTTGATTATATAAACATATTATTTGCACGATCAATACATATCTTATATTTGCAAATGATCTCATGATCTTCTGTAAATGAGAGACTATTTGTTAAAAGAGTTATGGAAGCTTTGACTCATTTCAGTGCCACAATTGGGCTTGTGGCAAACATGGAGAAGTCAAACTTATTCGTAACAGGAGTGACTGAAGAAGTAGAGAAGCAGTTGTTGAGTATCACTCGATTCACAACAGAATCTTTTCTCATAAGATACTTGGGACTCTCACTCACTTTCCAGAGGTGGAGTAAAATGGAGTGTCATCAACTTGTAAACAAGCTAACAAGCAGGATTAAAAACACCTATGCAAAGCAACTGTCCTATGCAGAGAAGCTTCAAGTGGTGTTGGCTGTGCTATTTTCAATACATAGTTTTTGGGTTTCTCAGAGTATAGTAAAGGAGGTGGACAAGAAACGTAGAGACTATTTGTGGGGGTAGTGGTGAAAAGAAGAAAACATTATTGGTATCCTGTGAAAAAGTTTGTTTCCCAAAGAGGCAGGGAGGTCTAAATATTAAAGGTTGTGGCAAATGGAATGTGGTTTTTGTAGGTAAGCTAGTATGACAGATAGCTGTAAATAAAAAGTCTTTATGGGTGAAATGGGTGCATGGGGTGTACATCAAAGCAAATGTTTTGAATCATTGTGTTCCAGTCGATAGCAGCTAGTATTGAAGAAAAATAACATCACCAAAGAATCAAATGCAGCATTGGTATACACATGGACAGTTCAATCTTACAACTAGTGGAGAATACTCAATCACCAGGGGGTATCTTGCACTATTGGGCCATCAAGCACAGCTGGGAACTGCCTAGGCAAAGGTTCATCATGTGATTAGCAACACAAAAGAGATAACTCACAAAAGAAACATGAATATACAAGTTGATGACTTTACGGGTGTGTTTGGTAGGAAGGAAATCATTTTCCTGAAAATGTTTTCCAATTTTCTTATGTTTGGTTGGATTAAATGTTTTGGAAATTTTTTTCAAATCAACTCATTTTCCTCAAATTTGAGGAAACTTTCCTTCAAAACTTAAAGAAATCATTTTTCAAAACTCTCTTTCAACTTCAAATTACAATTATTTTTTGTTGAAAAAATTAATTTATTTTTTCCCTACCCTCAAACCAGCCCCCCAACCACCCCCACCCCCCCCCCCCAAAAAAAAAAAAAAAAATTTTAAAGCTTGTTTTTAAATTTAATTTTTTTTACCCCACCCTCACCCCTACACCTATCCCCACCCCCTCGCAAAAAAATATTAAAAATTATTTTTAAAAAATATTTCTAATTTCAATTTTTTATTTTTTTACCCCCCACCCACTACCCTCGCTCCCCCATCTGCTCCCCTATTAGCCCCCAACCCCCTTCAAAAAGAAAAAAATTTAAGTTTGTTTTTAAAAAATATTTTCAACTTCAAATTTTTATTTTTTCATCCCGATCCTCGATCATCCACCCTCCCTCCCCGGCCACCCCTCCCAAAAAAAAATATTGAGTTTGTTTTTAAAAAATATTTTTCAACTTCAAAATTTTATTTTTTCACCCCTACACTCGACCCCCCCCCCAACCCACCCACCCCTACTCGCCACCCCTACCCCAAAAAAAAAATTTAAGTTTGTTTTTAAAAATTATTTTCGACATCAAAATTTCATTTTTTCACCCAACCTTCGACCCCCTCCACCCACCTCCTACCCAGCCCCCCACCCACCCATCCCCTACCAGCCCCCACCCCTGTCCCGCTAAATAAAAATTTAAATTTATTTTTAAAAAATATTTTCAACTTCAAAATTTCATTTTTGCAACCTATCCTTGACCCCCCCCCCACCCACCTATTACCCAACCCCCCCTCACCCACCCACCCCTACCAGCCCCCCACCCCCCAAAAAAAATTTAAGTTTATTTTTAAAAAATACTTTCAATTTCAAAATTTTATTTTTTCACCCCTACCCTCAACCCCCCACCACCCACCCCTCTACCAGCCCCCAGCCCCTCCCCCCCCGTCAAAAAAAAAATTAAGTTTGTTTTTAAAAATATTTTCAATTTCAAAATTTCATTTTTTTCACCCCCTCTACCAGCCCCCAGCCCCTCCCCCCCCCCTCAAAAAAATAATTTAAGTTTGTTTTTAAAAATATTTTCAATTTCAAAATTTCATTTTTTTCACCCCTACCCTCGACCCCCCACCACCCACCCCTCCACCAGCCCCCAGCCCCTCCCCCACCCCAAAAAAAATTTAAGTTTATTTTTAAAAAATATTTTCAAATTCAAAAATTATTTTCTACTCTAGTAAAAATAAAAGATACTTTTCAAAAATATTTTTCATTCATAAATCAAACACTAAAAAAAAATTTTGGAAAATATTTTCTACTCACTAACCAAAAATAAGAAAATAAGTCAAAAATCAACTTGTTTTCCAGGAAAAACATTTTCTAGAAAAACATTTTCCTTCGTACCAAACACACCTTACATGTTGCTTGTCAAGATACAGTGATGAAAACAAATAAACACTTGTTTGTACACTGAATATGTTACAAAGGTGAGAGATGCACTCCAAAGCTGGTCAAATATCAACCTGCCTGCCAGGGGCGGAGCTAGAACCAATGAAGGGTGTGCAAGTGAACACCCTTCGTCGAAAAATTATACCATACGTATAGGTCAAGTTTATGAAATTGTCAATATATACTTAGGTTTGCACAAGGCCGGAGGTCAAAGGTTCGATTCTTTGTTCCTTTAAGTTTTTTAACGTCATTTTAAAATCAATTTCAAAGATTTTTCTTTGTGGGTCCTTCGGTAACTTTCTTTTTAATTCTTCTACCTGTTTTTTGTGGGTCCTTTAGTAACTTTCTTTTTAATTTTTTTACTTGTCTCTCTATGGCACAATTTAATTATTTTAAATAGCTAAGTAAATTTTTTTAAATTACAGATAACATTTATTTTGTGATAAATTAAAAACTAAAGTATGTAACCTAAATTATGACAGAATGATATATATATCATTGTATTTTCCATTCTCTCCTAATTAGTTGGGAGGTTTGAATTGACGTTTTTTTAAAATTATATGTAAATCTCTTTCATGATTCTTTATCGAAACATGAGAAACTTAACATCAATTAAAATTAAGTAAAAAAATCAAAGATTGAAAATTACTTTGGATTCAAGTAAAAATCGATAAATTAATGTTATTTTTTCTTGAGTATGCAATACATGTTCAGTACAAATCTCGACTCATTCATTTTAAAACTATTATCTCAATTTATAAAATTTACCATGCATTTTTATAACTAAACGCAACTCAAATTGAAGATTTTTTTATATATATATATAATTCAGATCTCAAATTGAAGATAAAAAACAAATTGTATTTGATGAAAAACAAATTATTTATGTTGTTTATGGTAAAATCACTAGGTTGAGCAAGATGAA